TGGACATGGGCCTGCACCTCCCTGGCCACCGCCGCCGCATCCTGGCTGGCCTGCTCCGGGCCCACGCCCCGCCCATCCCTGCGCCCCGCCCTGCTCCCCGGCCGGTACCCAAGAAACGCCACGTCTTCCGCTCAGCACCTGCCCCGGCCACTACACCAGAGCACCTGCCCACAGCTGCAGAAGATGAGGGGCGACCCTCTGCCCCACCCATCCCACCCCGAAGGAGCTGCCTCCCGCCTGCCTGCTTCACCGCCCCTTCTACAGCTATCCCATCCCTGGGCGTTCCATCCACGGCCACCCCATCAGTGACCACCTCGTCTTCAGCTGCTCTAGACCCTGTGCTGCCCCCACTGCCCGCCAAGCGTCATTTGGTAGAGCCCAGCGTTCCGCCTGTGCCTCCTCGTTCCGGTCCCCCTCGCCTGCTGGTGAGGTGAGCAGATGCCACTGGGGTGGGCTTTAGGTGGTGGGGGCAGCTTGTGCAAAGGGCAGATGGGGCTGCAGCTGTGAATCCTCAGTAGCACAGCTGGGTTGGTGGTGTGCAGGGCAGGATGGGGCTGCCCCTGGTGGGACAGGCAGCAAGGCCCCAGCTGGGAAGCGGAGTGGGTTTCTGTAAGAAGATGAAGAGCTGGGGTGCGGGGGGAGGATGCAGGAAGAGTCTGGGAGGCAAGGGAGCGGGCACAGGGCCAGGCTTGACCTGCTCAGGCTGTGTTGAGTGTCTGGTTGAGACTGGGACTAGTGTAGCTCCATGTAGGTTGACTGGGGCCACATGCAGTACTACAGTAGCCAGGACAGGGACTCCCTGGACCTGGGCAGAAGGCAGGGGGAACCCTGGTGGCCTCTAGGTTTCTGTTTTGGACATTTGGCCAGACAGTGGTAATAGCACTGACCTAGGACCCAGGGACAGACGTGAGTTTAGGAGGGGGACCCAGCAAGTGTGAAATGCCGAGGGCATCCGGGTACATTCTGACACCAGGAAGTAACATCTGGAGGACAAGGAGAGCTCTTTGCAGCAGTGGGGTGGCGGAATAGAAGCCTCTCTGCGTGTCACCCCAACTATCCCACCCCTGACAAATGTCACTTGGTGACAACTCTGAGCCTTTTCTTGCTCACTTTCCTCTTCAGAGCTGGTTTTTCCCCCCTGGCTTCTGACCTTCCTTGTTTTCTTGGATTTCCTCCTGCTTCTTCGGATGTTCCCCGCTTCATGGAGACCCTCTGTCCTGTGCTTTGCTTGGATGCCCCGGGGGAGGAAGAGCCCCCACAGGGCTAGATGTTTTCTGGGGAAAATGGGGATTTATTGGAGCACTTGGGCCAAGGCAGGCCAATCTAGGGAGGCTTCCAAGCAAAAGTTCAGAGCAGAGAGGAACACACTGGCTACATTCATGCCAACTGCTTCATCAAGCCCCATAGTGGGAGACTGGGGAGGTGCCCCCCACCTCGTGAGGAGCATTAGGTTAGGTGGCCTTGAAGGCCAAATGACGACTGTAGTGTTGAGTATTGACTGGTGGAAGCCTAGTGAGTGTCGGTGCCTTTCCTGGACTCACATGAGTGGGCACGGATAGGCAGCGAGCTCCCCTGGAGCCCTGCTGGCATGCTGGATTGATTTTTCCTGGTGCCCTTGTGCCCTCTAGTGGCCATTTTCCTGAGGACTTTCTCCAGGCGTACTTTATATTTGCTTCTTTCACATTATCCAGCTAGAGAGTGAAAGGGCCTTGAATCCGGCATCCCAGCTTCTTTCTCTCTGTCCTTCTACCCAACTTTGTGTCACCTCGATGTCTTGGGAAGGGGGATGCCTTCAGAGGAGGCTGGTGGGAAGCAGGATCCTCTGCCACAGACCAGGGCATAAGCGGCAAGATTAGGGCGCTCTCCTTCCTGCCTTCTGAGCCTGTTTCCCTACCAGGTGCCCTCCATGACCTTCTGTAACCCTCTTAGCACTGTACCCTGTGATCAGTGTATTAGAAGGGGTGGGTGAGAGTCCCATCCAGGCCCTGGGGCCCCAGGACCCACTCAGATGCCACCACTTGGCCACCCTCCAGCAGGGAGGTCAGGCCCCTGTGGTCAGAAGCTTGGCTCCCAGGAGAGGGAGGGAGGGAGGGACAGAATGAGAGAATTTGTGGGAAATCACAGCATCCCTTAGCCTCCAAGGGATATTGATTCTAGGGTCTGGTCACAGAACGTTGTGGTATTTGCATAGAATTGATACACATCCTCCTTCATACTTTAAATATTCTCTGAATTACTTATGTCCCCTAGTAGAGTAGAAATGGTTGTTACAGTGCATCGTTTAGGGAAAAGGGACAAGAAAAAAGGTCTGACAATGTTCAAGATAGATGCATTTCCCCCGTATATTTTCCATCTGTGGTTTACTGGATCTGCAGAGTAGAATCCGCAGATGCAGAAGACCAGCCGTGTTTCCTACAATTTGGGACATTTCCTTAAGGCAGAGTTGGGGGAGAGTGAGCTGCCAAGCCTGCTTTCTTGTACCCCTGGGTCTTAATAGTTGGAATGATGGGTATTGCCAGTCTTTAGTGCAGTCTTTGGAGTCCTGTAATAAAGCTCGTGTGAGCTAGGCGAGGTGGCACACACCTGCAATCTTAGCTACTAGAGAGACTGAGGGAGGCAGATTGCAGGTCCAAGGCCCACCTGGGCAATTTAATGAGCCCGTCTCAAAATAAAAAATAAAAAGGCCTGAAGATGCAGCTCCATGCTCTTTGGGTGTGGCAAAGCAAGCAAATGAACAACCCCTTACCACAGAAGGAACATCACAGATTTGTAATGTGCTGGCTGTGGCCCTGGGGTGCTCACAGATGGAGCCTTCTTGGCCATCTTGTCCCCTCCCAGCTTTTCATGTGAATCCCAGCTCCTGGTGCACGGTGGACTACTCCTACGCCAGCAGGGGTCCAACCTCCTGGACTACTGATAGGGAATTCCTGCCCCTCTGTCTTGGTTGTTTTTCTCTTGTTGCTGGGACAAAACACCTGACATTCAGAATTAAGGAAGGAAAGGTTTATTTAGCTCTCAGTTACTAGAGGTTTCAGTCCATACTTGGCTGGCTGTAAAGCAGAGCGGCACATGGCAAAGGGCAGCAGTTCATGGCTGTAGGAAACAGTAAAGAACAAAGTGAGCGGTAGCTGTGGCAGCTAGCAAGCCTTGCTCCCCTCCTTCTATTGTCTTCAGATTACCCACCCCAGGGCTGGTGTAGCACTCACACCCATAATCCCCACCTTGAATCATGAATTAATTATAAACTCTAGAAGCCCACCCCAATGACTGCATGAGGCTCTGTGGGGACAGTGAGACACAAACCATAACACCATCTTTGTATCCACCAGCATGGGGAATTCACTCTCAATTTTGGGGTCTTTCCTACATGATTATGTTATGAGCTCATCGTTGAGTGAGCATTTCTCCCTGGCTCCAAGCCTGTCACCAAGGTCCCCAGTGAGACTTGGGGACCATTAAGCATGCATGTGTACGTTGACAGGGTCTTGGGTCTGTGTGAGGGCATGGCAGGGCTAGTTTGTGTGTGTACATTCAGACAGGGGTGCATATGGTGCCTTTGTAAAAGCTGTCTGGTCCGTGTGTCAGCACTGATGCAGGTTTTGAGGTTCACCGTGCCTGATGGTACAGGCACAGGTATGTGGGATCTATGCAGTTTCAGTGGCGACATGAAGTGTGCATATGAGTTCATTGGGGCCTGTGTATACACACGTACCCATGTGTACTACTGTGCTTGCGCTCATTTGTGGGTGAGAATGTGCTGTGTGAACAGGAGTTAGCATGCGTGTTGCATGCAGTCAGCTGTGAGCATGTGTGTGCACATGTGTGTGTATGCTGTCAGGAGGGGGTGAGCTCATTGGAAGGTCTGTCAGCCCTGCTGGGACTGTCACTTCTGTTTGTTGTTGAATCTCCAAGCCCTGCACCACTGCTAGCTGCCTGACAGCCCCTCCGTATTTGTTATGTGAGTGAATTGATGATGTCACTACTGTGAGCTTTTGTACTGCCGGGGACTGAGCCTGTGGGTGTGGGACTCAGCCTCAGCAAGGCCCTCAGCACACACTGAGCCATAGGACCAACGGGCCCTGAGCTCCCACCCCAAGCCCCTCTTCCTCCTCAAGCCAACCCAGGTCACCCATATGCCTTGGGAAGGAAGAGTCCCCAAGAGGAACAATGAGGCAGGGACAGGATTCTACCAAGCAGGGTACTAGCAGATTAGCAAGCCAGCAAGGATAGGGTGTCCTCCTTCCTGGCCCAGCATGACCTGGCTCTCAGTCAGCTTCACCTTTGCTTGGCCTGGGAAGAACCCCATTTACCCCAGAGTCTGTACACTTTTAGCATTATTTAACCCTTTGATAAGAGAACTTGCTGAGGAGCTCAGAGATGTTAAGTCACCTGCCCAGAGTCAGCCAGCCCAGCAGAGAGGAGGCCGTGTTTAGACCGCATCCTGTGTCCTCAGCTCTAAGTGTCCTAGACAGGAGCCCTGTGAACTTGCCTGTCTGAGCAGCAGAGGGATCATTTCTGATCCAGGGTTCCAGTGTCACTCCACAGAGTCCCTGCTGACTTGCCCTGGGCCTCACTTTCTTCGTCTGATACTTGGATACTGGAGATCCCTTAAAAAAGGAAGTATTTTCCTCCAAGGGGCTTTGTTGCTAGCTCGAGTCACACTGTAGAGCCACTCCTGAGCCCAGATTGCCTTGCAGCCCAACCAATCCCGGGTCTTCATGAAGGCGGATCACTTGTTACTGGGGGGAGAAACTACTCACTTTAAAGAGCCTCTTTCCCAGCCTCTATGGGCCTCCTTGTGGGGCTGGAAGAGGGAGGAGTCACGACAAGGGCTGTGAGGGCCAGTGCTTCCTCCGCATTCACCCTGTGAGGCTTCACGAGACCAGAGGGTCAGCAGATGCAGACATTGCAGCAGTTGAGTCCCATTTTAGCTTGGGGGTGGGGTGGGGTACAGCCCAGGGGCGGGAAGGAAGTGTCTGCCCCGGGGGATTCTGGGTGACTTCTTTCTCTTTCTGTGTTTTCAGGAAGTGTATGTGTTGGTTGGGGCTGCAGGGGGTGGGGAAGCAGAGAGCAGGAAGCAGGAGAAACCAGAGCTGGACACACACACAC